TCTGAGTTTCGACTGTTTCTAACATTTATTATTTGGTTGACTCAAGTTCTGATTTTTTTATTTTTTTTATCTGATTATAATTAATTATATAGACGATATTACACATATTAATAAATCTAGTCTAGAAAAACATTAGATAATCATGTGATTAAATAAATAAATAAATGTAATTCTTATCATCGAAATACAATTTTATACAAACAATGAAATTTTAGTATTTTTGACACATTATGTAATATAAATTTGTTGGTTGAATTAATCGCCTATAACCGACAAGGTGTATCATCACAGGCTCCCTTCCTACAGAACGCGTATCGTCGATGTCGGCGGTCGAAATAAGCCAGTTGTCGATGAGTCATATAGTCGTGGCCCTGGGGTCGGAGGCGCCCGGGCACCGCCTAGCGCCTAGGCCGATTTTTTAGAACCGTGCCCAAAAGTATGCCGCACAATATTGGAATTGAATTTTGACAGCTAATTAAACCGACTTAAAAAATGAAAAAACAAAAAAAAAAAAAAAAAATCACAATGCATTTTTCTCACATTTCATAAAATAATTTTACATTTGTTTTCCCCCCAAGTTTAAAACATGCTTTTCCAAAAATATTGACAACAAATTCACCTCCATCAGCAACATGTTCCATCCATACTTTTCAAAATGATTCAAGTAGCTTTCATTGCCAGCAATGGAAACTGTTAACTGCAACCATTAAATCTGTCTTAGTTTTAGGCTATCTTTTTTTCCATCTCATGACATTGATATATGCTCATTTTCATCTATTCTATATCATTTTATATTATGATCATTAAATCCACCTGTCTCTCCCCATTTATTGTTTCTCAACCATAAATCACTATAAGAAATGTGTGATCATGTCATCCACTACCCCCCATGCATGTTCTTTATTTCTCTTTTTTTCCTTTCTGCATTTGTACAATATTCATCACAACATATGATGTAGTACTACAAAACTAAAGTAGTGTTCAAATTTTGAATTTCCCTCCTCAACTCAACATTGTAAGAAGTACCTTCTTTGTTGGAAAGATAGAATAGACAATCTCTCGTAGTGTACGATGATGCTATAAAATTGATTGGAGTCGACTTACATATGTTGTACTGGAATCCAGTCATAAAATAACTTAATCGTTTATGCTTTTCGCTCCACTATTCTTAATTTAAGGACCCCACAAACTGTATCGATTGATGTCTAACTTCTATCTACTTTGCAGTCAGTATTTACAATTAGGTTCCTCCACTCTCGCATAAAGTGTACAATATTTTATCAGATCGTTGATATATCGATTGATCATTAACTTTTATCGACCTTGCAGTCAGTATTTATTATTCGGTTCCTCCACTCTCACATAAAGTAATACAATTCTTCATCAGATCGTACACACAACATTAACTTTTTATATATACATACACATACATATATATATACTTGAATTTGGATAAAGAGAGGAATTTAAATAGGGGAGACCATTAATGAGTTTAATTTGATACCCTCTTTAAAAAATGTATACTACCATTCATCTTGGTCAAAGATGAGTCATTTGTTTTCCATGGTCACACCATTATTGAAGCAATAACTAGCCAAAAAAGTACTCTTCCAAGAATGTTTTTTTTCTTCTTTTTTAAATAGGTTGGAATCTTTTGGTCATTTTTTTTTTATTATTATTATTTTTTTTTTATCTTTTGGTCATGGTAGTGCACAAATGTCCAACACAAAGCACTCTAAGGCTGAATGAAGTGACAAATTGGCTTCATTCCCACAAGCCCACAAAAAGACCTTGATACCGTCCAAGATATTGGTCATCACATTCTTTCTCCCCACACAATGACAAATTAGCCATGTCTTGACAAAAAAACCCATCACATCTTGGATAACAAAGGCATGTCCTTGTTATTGTATATCTATCTACATCCAAAGATATGTTGTCTCCAAGAATAAAGTAGATTGAAAAAAAAAAGTGATTAATTGTATTGATCGGTTTTACTATGAAACTAACCGTTGGCTCCAATAGTAAAACCAACCGTTGGCTCCATAGTGGAGTTAACTTTCTATATACAACCAATAAACATACCATATTGTCTGATTACTTAAATAACATTAATATAATTTTATTAATATGGTAAGTTTATTTGTTGTATATAGAAGGTTGGCTCCACTATGGAGCCAACGGTTGGTTTCATAGCAAAATCGGTGATCTTATTTCAAGAATTTTGATCATTAATTTGTTAGTTGAGTTTGTCTTTTGGATATCACTCAGGGTGAGTAGGTATATTAATTATCTCAATTTATATTCAATATTATTGATATAATTAAATAATACTACCTCCTATTTTTAATAGATGTCGTTTTGAAAAGTTGCACATTAATTAAGAATATTTTTTTTGTCAATAATAACCATATTTAATGAAGATAGAGATGAATGTTTAGAGAAAAAGTGAAGAGTGAATATGAAAAGACGTAATATATTTATTAGCTAAATGAGGGTAATAACGGAAAAATATGTACAAAAGATCCAAAACGATATTTATTTAGCAAATAGTTGATAAAGCTAGAATGACATTTAAAAAAATAGGAGGGAGTATTAATTAATCATTCTTACACAACATATCGACTTTAATTATTTTTTTGTTCATTTACTTACATAGTTTTAATTAACCATCACTTTACAACATTTTACTTTTACTTTTACATTAAATTCACTTTAATTATTTTATTTTAAATATTATTTTAATATAAATTCACAAAATTCTACTAACAACTAATCATACAAACATTTTTAAAATTAACTATAATTAGTTAAAAAAAAACTCGTTTTGAACGGATATATTTGCATACAAGCACGCCTCATGCTCCATAATGTAGCTTGCTATAATAATTCAAGAATTTTATTTCCTAATTTTATCCATCTAAAGTTGAATGATTATCGCCCCTCACCCCTATATATAATTATCGAATATGCTAAGTCTAAGTCACAGACTCGCACGCTTCAGAATCTTAAGGAGCAAATTTCTAAGCTTTGTTATTTGGCTTGAATGAATTTAAATTTATTTCTGATCCAAAAGCAACTCGGCTCTAAATATCCATAAATATACTGGATATTTGTGATCCCTTCTAAGAGCATTAATTATGTTTAAAACTATTAACTATTGTAGACATGATTTACAAGTTATATATTTTTCCAATCTTTCTTCTAAAACTATAACAAATTTACTAAATTAAATTAAAAATATATTTAAAAGTTAATAAATTATTTATATGTTTACAATTTTTTTATATAATATCTCGAATTGATCATGTCGAGCTTGAGTTGACATCTATATTACATACAAAATAAATAAATAATTTTATTTATCTTTATAAATAAAATTAAGTTACTTATATTCGAAAAAATAAAACTATTTAAACTGACAACTAAAAAATATTTATTTGATATAAATTTTTTAAAAAAATTAAAAGATAGTACGTCGTGCAAGTGATATTATCATTTTAAATATAAATAATAATATATTTATTCAAAAAGTATTTAAAACTAAAACAACTTTTGTTGTTATTGTTACTTTATTTTAAATACATTTTTCTTAACAAATATTGTAGTACAAGGGTATCGTACTAGTAGTACGTTAAAAATGAAAATTAATAAGTCAAAGTTAACTCTTTTAAATTTTTTGGGCATTTACAAATGATGCCCTTGATGGCTACTATTTACCTTCATGCAATCAAGTGCTGAAGACTTCAAGTATTCGGACGGACCTCTAGTCATTGAATTATTATTAGAAAAAAAAAATATTATATATATATATGCATTTTTTATAAATTCAAATAAAAATAATTAAAAATATATTTCTTGTAATTTTATACTTCAAAATATTTATAATATTATATATTATCATAAATATCCACCACGTAAGCATATACACACATAATTTTCAATTTGAATTTAAAATATTTATTTTATGGAAAAATAAAATAAATATATAGAATAAAATTGGTGTCAACGGAGGTCAATGCCCAAATCTACCGTGTCAAAATAAAAACAAATTAACTCAAAATAAATAAAATAAAATAAAAAATGTACTTGAAATTAATGAATAGGTCCCCCGTTCAAATACAAAGCATCTACTGCTTGGCTCTGCAACACTGTTACACAGGGTCCCTTTCAAAAAAAAAAAAAAA